GTTTGTTAGATTTAAGACAGAGGTTTTCAAACTTGGCCCTTTGATGACTTGTGGACTTCAACTCCCAGAATTCCTCAGCCAGCCTCCATTTTGTTTGTTAGATTTAAGACAGGGGTCTTCAAACGTGGCCCTTTGATGACTTGTGGACTTCAACTCCCAGAATTCCTCAGCCAGCCTCCATTTTGTTTGTCAGATTTAAGACAGGGGGTCTTCAAACTTGGCCCTTTGTGGACTTGTGGACTTCAACTCCCAGAATTCCTCAGCCAGCCTCCATTTTGTTAGTTAGATATAAGACAGGGGTCTTCAAACGTGGCCCTTTGATGACTTGTGGACTTCAACTCTCAGAATTCCTCAGCCAGCCTCCATTTTGTTTGTTAGATTTAAGGCAGGGGTCTTCAAACCTGGCCCTTTGATGACTTGTTGACTTCAACTCCCAGAATTCCTCACCCAGGGTGCCTGGATGAGGAATTCTGGGAGTTGAAGTCCACAAGTCATCAAAGGGCCAGGTTTGAAGACCCCTGGCTTCTATGGTCCATACTGGCTGAGGAATTCTGGGAGTTGAAGTCCACCAGTCATCAATGGGCCGAGGGCATCACAATGCTGATGCGCCCCTGGCACTTTGCGATCAATAAGTGGGTTTGGGGTTGCGGTTTGGGCACTCAGTCTCTAAAAAGTTTGCCGTCCCTGATCTGTGACCTCAACGAGGAAGCCCACGGATGTTCTCGTCGGCCCCCGTGAGGGACGTCGCCAAGCTTTTCCTTCTCTTCCTCCAGCACCCTGCCCAGCCTTGATGCCCCCTACCCCATGTTGGTCTTGACTGGACCTTTGGCCTGTTGGAAGCGCGAGCTGTGTCACAGGCTCTGTCGGAAGTTCAACAACTATTTCAGATACAGGTAGGAGCCCCTGCGCGTTGGGGAAGCTTTGGAGCAGTGGTTCTCAACCTGTGGGTCGGGACCCCATTTGGGGTCGATCGACCATTTCACGGGGGTCGCCAAGCAAGGCTGTCCGCCATTTTTTTGGTCCGCCATTTTTTTCCCCCTTTTCCGGCGGGTGCCTTACCTCCCTTGGGCTGGGCCAGCTGGTGGTCGGCCTGCTCCGTCTCTGCCGCTTGCCAGCTACGCCTCGGCCGGCGCAGGGGGCGGAGCCACGGAGGCGCGGCGCTCCCGGGCAGGGAAAGTCCTCGACTTACGACCGGTTGGGTAGTCCTCGACTTACGACCGGTTTAGTCCTCGACTTACGACCGGTTTAGTCCTCGACTTACAACCGGTTTAGTCCTCGACTTACGACCGGTTGGGGTCACGGCATTTAAAAGGTTGAGAACCACTGCTTTGGAGAGCCGGTGGAGACAGTATGTCCTCAAGGAAGGGGAAAGAAGAGTAGAAAGTGGGCACGCCACAGCTCCTCTTTCCGCTCTGCTTCCTTCTCAGCCCCTGTCACACCACCAGGAGCCCTTACTTCGGAGAAGAGAACCGGTTAGATTACTACTACGTCTCCCAGGAGGAATTTGACAAGATGGTGAACACGGTAAGAAGGAAGAAGCCGGCC